AACCTTCCAATGTGAGGGAAACAAAACAGTGATTCTTGCAGGGTGAAGCAAAGAAACACTTCCTATTCCCACCAAACTTCTAAGGATATACTTGCTGTCCACCCAACAGAATGAACTATCTATCCCTGTCCTTAGCTCCTGGAAATCCAGCTTCAACTACCTCCATGCTACTGAAACAGGCCCCTTAAAGGTCACCAACCACCTCAAGCCTGCCAAAATCCAACCATCTTTTCTGGGAACCTCATGTGGGTCATCTAACACGTGGGTCTCGACCACTGAAGAGGTCGAGAGTGGAAAGTTTCAGAATCCCTGAATTAGGGGCAGCTCGGTGGTGCTGTGGATAGAGCACCAGCCCTGAAGTCAGAAGGCCCTGAGTTCAGATCGGGCCTCAGACCAAACACTTGACACTTACCAGCTGTGTGACCCTAGGCAAGTCACTTAATCCCCAAAACACAAAAGACAGAATCCCTGAATTAACACAAGCTCTTCCCTCCACTACCCTGTGAAAGCTCTCAGCAAGAGCTGAGGCTGGGGGAGGGGAGCGAGGCTGCTTGATCACTCCCGGCAATGAGGGACGGAGAGTCCACAGGCCCACAGGCCTCAAGCCCTCCGCAGTAAGCCATGCTGCATTCCCTTTCAGGGATCAGTAACACCGGCCTCCCTTCCACCTTTCTGGATGTTTCATCTCTGACTCCTCACATTCCTCCTCCTTATTGTCCCACCCACCAAATGGGCACATCACTTAAAGTTCAATTACACGCCCTTTGCTATAATTTCTCCATCTTCCAGCTTCACCTCTGGCCTCGTCGTGGATGCCACAAACACATGCCAGGGCATTTCTATCTGAATGTCCTACTCTACCCCTCAACACCAACTTCCTTCGGACGAGGGTTCCTTCTGCTAATTCCCTTGGTTAGACTTCACAGTGGTTAGAGCACAGGACTTGGGAGTCAAGAAGACCCGAGTTCCTACCTGGCCTCAGACTCTAGCTTTGTGACCTTGGACAAGTCATTTAGCTTCTGTCTGCCTCAGTTTCCTTATCTGTAAACTGGGAGTAACAACAGCCCCTATCTCCCAAGGCAGGTATAAGAATCAAGGAAGGTAATATTTGTAAAGAGGTTTGCAAGCCTTAAAGTACTATATAAATCCAAGCTACCATTTCTCTGACTTTTCGACTTTGGCATTTCAGGTGAAATATGTTTAATAACAAGGAATCACCTAGCTATATACTTAGAACCAATGGGTCCTAGATCTAAGTTTTTAAAGGGCAAAAGGATCCTGTGATCCATCGGGTTTTAGTCCATGTCTCTGCGTCAAACGCTTGCTCTGGAATTAGCATCCTGTCCACAAAAGTCCCAGCTGTTCCTAGCTACCTCTTTGTATCCCTGGCCCAGAATTTCACCAATCCCTCCTCCCTCTCCTGCTCTGTAAGATACAGAGGCTGGCTGGCCTAGAGCCTCTCTAAGGTGTCCTTTAGCTCCCAAGACTGTGGCCCTAAATCCCCAACCATATGACAAGGTACTGTGCTCAACACAATCAAAAATGGGGAAAATGCCCCTGGACCCAAGGGACCTCAAGTTCTATGTATGCAATAAATCAGCCTCCTCAGGAACCGTGACTAAAATCACTATGAGCCACTTTCAAATACTAGAAACAGAAACACCAGTGGTCTGGCTACTCATTCAGACACTGTATTCACAGCGTGAGACAATGGAATATTTTTAAACCAATGACAACATAAGCAAACTGATGGGTACTTTCATTTGTGCTTACTCCTTCTTCCCGTTCATAAAAAACGGAAAACAAGCCTCACTCTGCTTCCTAAGTAGGCTCTGACACAAATCCCCTCCTGAAATTCTACTCTGATTGTCCATGGCAGGCCCTCCTTTTACACTGACTTTCTAGTGAAGCCCCCTGAAAGAACTCGGGCTGACTGCCCACCTCCGAGAGGCTCCAGGTGCTGGAAGTTTGGCTCAGGACTCCTCCTCCTCCTCCACAGGCCTCCTCCACAGAACTACTCTTCTACTGAGCTCGGGGAGGGTTGTTGTTTGTAAAGGAAAGTCAGAGGAGATTAGAATTGGTGCCAGTCGGCAGTGAATAACATCCTGGCTGTTCTGTAACTGTTACAAGCATCTGGAAAAGCAAACAGCCCCATATTGGGAGGGAGAAGAGGCCCAAAGCAGCACCAGTCTGAGACCGGGCAAGACTCCCGGGCACCAGTGATGGCAGAGGAAGTGTCCAGATACTGGTGATTCCTGACAGAATTCCTCATGGCCCAGGAAACCCTTCCTGCTCCCCTTCTTTCTGAGCTAGACAAGTCTGCTCCCAGACAATGGCAGCAGGAAAGGTGAGGAGCCTGTCTGGGCTTCCTCTTTTAGGAATAAGTGCCAAACTGCCCAAACCAGGTCACCCCTCCTCTCTGCTCCCTTAACAGAGAGTCTCCATTAACGAACCAGGCCACTCAGAGGCACTAAGGTCTTAGTTCTGAACCCCTTCCCCTCCCCCCAAAAAACTATGAAAGGGTGCTCTCCCCTCCCCTGCTTCTTTTTAGCTGCTCACAATTTCACTGGGGAAAAAACCAGGAAACCAAATAAATCAAACAGGCCAGAACATGGTAGGCCCTTGATAAATACCTGTGGCCCTGAGTGGGCCCAGAAATTGAGTTCCCTCCCTCTGCCCAGTGTCTTCTACCCTTATCCCCCACCCCCCTACTCCAAAGGAAGGAGAGCAGACAGACTGAAAGTGAGGTAGGGAGCTCTTCTCAAAGGACTCCTAGCCTTGAAGGCATAAACACAGGGGCAACTAGGAGCCCACCACTTTCTGGCGAGTTGCTCCTATAGGAGTCGTATGGGCCCAGGTAAGGATCACAGACTTACAGATCTAGAACTGGAAGGGACCTCAGAGGCCATATCATTTTACATTTGAGGAAACTGAGGCCAAGAGGTTTTAAGTGACTTGCCCAAGGTCACACAGGAAATACTGGCAGAAACAGAAGATTTGACCCCAGTGCATACTGGGGGATGAGAGAAGACAGAGGACAAAGATAGTGGCAGGGGGTGGGGAGAAGAGGGGTGTGTGGTGGGGGAATAATAGTGGCTGGGGCCAGGAGGGAAGGGGAGGACAATTGGGGGGGAGGGGAAGAAAAATCTTGGCCAGATCCTAGGAGGAACAAAGAATGTTGGGATGGGATGGGACAGGGAATGGGTGGCTGGACAGGAGGATGGAGGGATAAAGAGAACACAGTGGCTAGAGGGTGTGAGGGGGCAGCGGGAGAACAGTGGCTGGATTCCCCTTCAATCTGGCCACCAAAGTGGTTCTCTAAGGTCTGACTATGTCACTCCCCTACTCAAAGAACTGCAGTGGCTCCTTATCACCCCCAAGTCCGGCTGGCCTGTTCCTGCCTTGCCAGTCTTCTTACGTTCGGCTCCCCTCCTCAATCTAGAACCTGGCTACTCTGGCCTCCATGCCTGGCCTGGCTCTTCCGGCTCTCCCTCCTACCCCCAGATCTCAGTTTCTGTCTTCCTTCTGGTGTCTGCTCAAATCCCACCTTCTCCAAAAGGCTTTCCCAAGAAGTCAGATTAGAAGGTGAGCTCCTTGAGGACAGGGACCGGTTTTGCTAGCCCAGGGACTGGCTCATAATAAGCCTTTAATAAATGCTTGATGACCCACTGACCCTGGAGAGGTGGGGGCAGCAATGGTGGGTCTGGAGGGAGGGAAGGGAAAGGAGAGGACAGCTGCTGAGGGAGGAAGGAGGGGAGAAGGAATAAAGGAATGGAGGAAAGAAGGACTGGGGAGGAGGGACTAGAGCTGAATGGGGGGGAAAGGAGGAAAGGGCGGATGGAGGGGAAGAGGGGCAGAGGAAGGACTATGGGGACTGGGGGCTGGAAGGAGCAGACGCCAAAGGGAGGGATGGAGGAAAAAGTGGCAGGAGGGGTGAGGAGGATGTGGCGGAGGTAATGGGGGAGGGGTGAAGGGGGAGGGGAGAAAGGTGAAGGACCTGGAGGGAGGATAGATGTGAAGGGGGGGGTGTTTGAAGGCCCCTGCTGTGTGAGAGGGGAAAGGGGTGAAGGACTGGGAGTGAGGGGTGCATGTAGGCCTGGGGGGTGAAGAGGGAGGGATGTGTGTGAAGGGCCGGGCTGGGGGGAAGGACTTTGGGGGGAGGTGTGGAGTACCGGGGGGGGGGGATTGAGGGACCCAGGAAGGGTGGAAGGTGGTGAAGGACCTGGGGGTAGGGTATATGTGAAGGGGGGGGTGTTTGAAGGTCCCTGCTGTGTGAGGGGGAAGGGGATGAAGGACTAGGAGTGAGGGGTGCATGAAGGCCTGGGGGGTAAAGAGGGAGGGGAGGATGATGGGTGTACGGTGAAGGAGGGCTGCGTGTGAAGGGCCGGGGCTGGGGGGGGGAGGGGTGGAGGAAGGAACCTGCGGTGTGAGGAGAGGGGGGGTGGGGTGGAGGACCCTGGGGGGGGGGGAGTACCGGGGGGTAGGGGTCAGGGGGGCTGAGGGACCCGGGACGGGGGTGTCGGGGTGGAGGCCCCCTCCGGGATTCCAGCGGACAGTTGTTTACCTCTTCCCTCCCCCCCACCTAGCTCGGACACCCCCCCTCCTGCCCGGTCCTCGCACAGCCGGCCAGCCCGGGCCAGGTCGGGCCGGACCCCGCAGCCTCCCGGGGCTTGTAGTCTCCCCGCCGCTCTCCGGCCCCGAGGGCGCGGGATCGAGGACTCCATTTCCCGCCGTGCCTCGCTCTCCCAGCCCGCCGCGAGGCCTCTTGGGATCGGTGGTCCCGTACCGCCCCCGCTGCCGGCCCGGGGGCCACCGGAGAACTACAGATCCCGTGAGGCCCTGCGGCTGCCCTCCCACCGCACTCCCCCCTCCCTGCCTCTTCTTCTCCCCCCCGCCCTTCGTCCGTCCCCCACCTCCCCCTAGTTCACCGGTACCGGGGACGGACAGCCCCGGCCCTGTCCACACCGGCCCACTCTCGGGCCCCTCGGACCCCCCGCTACCTATGTCTATGGCGAAGCGCTTGGCATTCTCCAGGTTGCGGAAGATCTCGTCGGGCGGGAGGGTGATGCTCTTGTCCAGGCTGTCCCCGCTGCTGCCGCTGCCGCTCGCTCCACACTCCGCCATTTTGAATCTGCCTGGCCAGCCTCATCAGCCATGCAAATATATGCGCATGTATTTGAATCTTAATAGGCTCCCACCCCCTCGTCGAATAGTTTATGCTAATGAGGCCCTGCCAGGCAAGATGCCTCCCCATTTTCTCTCCTTCCTAAAGCCCGAGACGACTCCACCTGACTTTGGCCAGCCATGGGGTGAGGGTTTGGGGTTCCTCGAAGTTATAGACTGAGAGCTGTGGAAGGACCCCCAAAGAAGGACTATCCTGTCAAACCCCTGAATTTTACAAAGGGAGAAACTGAGGCACAGAGAAGCAAAGCAATTATTTGAACCCAGGTCCTCTGACCCCCCCAAACTAGTGTTTTTCCACTGTACCATTGCTGCCTTACCTTGGTCACATACAAGGGGAATCAGGCTGCCTCTAAGGTTCCTTCCGTACCTGAGATTCTGTTACTGATCAAATGGGCTCCTTTCCTCTCCCCTCAGTCCCCAAGGTGACTGTCCAGCCCTCTTGACGAGGACCTTAGATCAAATTCTAGCTCTATCATTTATTCCCTTCATGACCTTGGGCAAGTCACCTCACCCTTCTAAGCCTCAGTTTCCTTCTCTGTAAAATGAGGGAGGAGGTGGATGAGCTGACTTTCAGTGCCATCATATCTATGATCACATGAATTCAATTTAGTAGTATTTACTAAGCACCTACTGTGTGTAAAAATGCTTGTCATTTGTTGTTGCTGTCAAGGAACTTACATTCTATTGGGAGAAACAGCATGTACACAAAATCCTTTCTACACCATCCCAGACAAGTGGTTGACAAAGTGGCCTTTGCTTGATACTCCCTGGTCACAGGGAGCTCACTACTTTCCTATCCCCACTTTTGGACAGGTCTAAGTGCTTTACAAAGCTTTAGAGTTTACAAAATACTTTAAAATTCATTTATCTCATTAGCTGGCCGATTAGCAAGCATTTATAAGTATCTAATATGCTGGGCAAAAGTCCTTCTACATCTGTAGAGGCAAACATCCTTAATTATCCCCATTTTGCAGATGAGGAAACAGGGAACAGAGGAAGGTTAGGTGATTGTTCAGTGCAATGATTCCAGGACTCAAGATCAAGTCAATTAGAGAGGCAGAGGGGAGCTCAGCAGTTGTACCTGTGCAAAAATTCTCTCTGCAAAAATCCTTACAGCTTGCAATGACTCTAACCATTAAGATTTTTTTTTCTTAGAGTCCTTCCAGTTTATCAATGCTCTTCCTAAAATTGGGCACCTACAATTGAACACAGACTTGACATATGCTCTAACTAGGAGAAAGGGTAACATAATTAGCCCTTCCCTCTTGTTGGATATAACACCTTTTTCAAAGCAGATCAAGATTGCATTCATTTTGGGGTTCTATTTTTTTATCGAATTTCATTGCTATCTTTTATTTTTTCTATCTTTTTCATTTCCAATTATATCCTTCTTCCTCTCCTACCCAGAGAGCATTTCCTTATGTGAGGGCAAGAGAATGTGTGGAACACTCTCCTGCCTAAATTAATGTAATTACAGAAGGATTAGGCATTTCTATTGAATCAATCAATTAAAAGTGTAAACCAGTTGTGAACAAGTCTTTAATCAGTATGGGAAACCAGAAGGACTTTGATCATTGGATGAAATCTGATGACACCACACAGGAAATGCTTTGCCATTGACTGAAAGAAATAGATATACCTTTGAGCCTATACCCACATATATGTGTATAGATATCCTATATCCTAATAAAGCAGTTGAGAACAGAGCATTCCAGCAATAAGTCAGTCTAGTAGTTGAGAGAATTGCCCTTTGAGGGGTGGGAGGAGACCAACCCAGTGGTGAATTTTAAGAGTTGAGAATATTTGGACTTTGCATATGCACACATACTGGTGAACCCTGAGCATCAGTAGATGAAGGTAGCGAGTGCATAGGAGCTAGGAAACACAGCAGGGGCAAACTAGAGATACTGAGGAAAAACAGCCTTGAGGACTCCAACAGAGGGCTAAACCCTTCATCACAACTCCAAAAGGACTTTCAGTATCTAGAAGAGAGTTACCCTTTGCCACATGGACTCTCTCTGGGCTGGAGTTTACTTTCATTATGGACCCTGTGTAATACTGTGAGAAAATGTCCCAGACTTGTAGAAGGATTGAGCAAACAAACCTGTTCTACCTGCTTAGTAAATACTAATTTCTAGGAGCTAATTAAGGCTGGCAATCAATGGGGAACACACCATATGGGGGCTCCTGGGTGACAGTCCTAGAAAAACCCTCAGACTCTCAAGGTTACTCCTCGAACCCTCTGGGAAGTAGTCAACTACAGTCTGGGGACTCAAGCTGTCAGTAGCAGTGCAAGCTGGGAGACTGAGCCCGGAGGGAGTAATATACTTGTAATGATGAATTTTAAAAAAGAGAGAGACTGCAGGAGAAAAAGCAATTCAGCGAAACATACCAAGGCAATGAGCAAGTTTGAGAGTATGTGTCACCCTTAGAGAAGAGCACCTCCCTCCCTTCCTTCAAGAAGGTGAGGTCTAAGGGAGGTGTCTTCTCATGACTCTTACTCCATGCAACCTTAGTCATTATGATTGGATTACATTCAATTTCAGTTCTTACTGAGTTTCCCATTTCCATTGTTGGGTATTATTTTTCTGGTTCTGCTCACTTCCCTCTGCATCAGGTCATGTAAGTCTTCTCAGGATTTTTTCTGTTCTTATTCGATTTCATGAACATCCCACAATTTGCTTAGCTATTCTTTGTTTATAATTTTTTTTACCATGGCAAAAAGTGCTTCTATAAATATCTTGGTACATGTGACACTTTTCTTTGTGTCTGACTTCTGTGGTAGATATGCCTAGCGGTGGGATCTGGGGACATCTTAGACAGTTTTTTAGAGTAATTCCAAATTGCTTTCTAGAGTCCTTGTACCAATCCATTGCTCTGCCAACAGCGTCTTTGTGTGCTTGTTTTTCCCCAGCACCTCCCACAATGACTCTTCTTTGGTATCTTTGCTAGGTTGTTAAGTGTGAGGTGAAGCCTCAGATTTCTTTTGATTTGCAAATCTATTATTAGAGAGTTGGAGTAATCTTTTTTTTTAATAGTTGTTAATAGTGTGCAATAATTCTTTTGAGACCATATGTTATGGGCATTTATTCAATGGGCAATGGTTATTGGTTGTATATTTTTCTTATTTCCCTCTGCATATTGGATATAAAGTCCTTATTATAAATTTTTGATGTGGAGATTTTTTTCCTCCTAATCAACTACTTCCCTTCTGAGAATCCTAGTTGTATTTGTTTGTACACAAGCTTCATTTAATTGTAATGTTCTTTTTATTTTTTGCGCACATCCTATGATTGACTAACATATTAAACTTGAAGTCTCAGGAATAAGAATTTTCTTTTTTAAATCTGCTCAAGTCTGTTACCTGATATCAAACTCTGTCAAAACTTCCTTCCCAAAATGAAATGCCTGGATTTTTCTTTTCAGCTGATTGGATGTCTTGATGTCCAGTGTAAACAGTATCTAAATCAACACTCTGATGGTGAGACAGAGTGCCCGTTCATTCTTTAAAAAAAGATCACTCAATCACCAAGCATTTATTTAATGTCCACAAGGATGAGCATCTGCCCCTTGGCACAGAACTTCTGTGCCCAATGCTGAAGGAAGAGACAGCAAAAACAAGGCAAAAGCAAGAGGAATACCAGAGCCCATCTTTTGATATTTATATTATGCTTTTCTTACGATATCTCTGTTAACCAGGCAGTGCAGGTTTTATTTTGTCCATTTTATGGAGGAGAAAACAGAGGTCCAAAGTAAGGCAATCTGGTGCAGTGGAAGGCACAGTGGGTTAAAAGTCAGCTGATGGAGGTTTTAGTGCTGACTTTGAATTCTTGCACTGATTGCTAGTCTCAGCTGGAGATAGGAAGGAAGGAAGGAAGAAAGAAAGAAAGGAAAAAAGGGAGGAAGGAAGGAAGGGAAAAGAGGGAGGAAGAAAGGAAGGGAAAAGAGGAGGAAGGAAGGAAGGAAGAAAGGAAGAAATGAAAGGAAAGAGAAAGGGAGGGAGGGAATAAAGGACAGAAGGAAAGGAGAGAGGGAGAAAGGAAGGCAGGCAGGAAGGAAAAAGGTCATCAAATCCAGCTCCCCTCACTTTACAGACAAGGAAACTAAGGCATAGAAAAGTGAATCAACTTAAAATCACACCGGCTAGTAATTGAGAGAGGTAGGATTTGAACAAAGATCCTCTGGTTCCATAGGCAACACTCTTTCCTCTGCATTGCACTTTTAAATAGAAAATCAAACAGCTCTGAGCACAAACTTTTTCTAGACACAAAATAGGCAGGTGACTGTTTCCACTTCCCTGACTCATAGGAAGCATTACAGAAAGGCAGTCTGGTGCTTGCTCTGGGCCAGGGGGTCTATGAACTTTTTTTTTTTAATCTTTTGATAATTGTAGTGCAATATTGTAGATTTCCTTTGTAATTCCCTGCATTTTATGCATTAAAAAAAATTCTGAGAAGTCAATAACCTTTATTAGGGTGTCAAAGGGTCCAAAACACAGAAAAGATTTAAGAACCTGTACTCTAGTCCTACCACCCCATTTTACAAATGGGTAAACTGAGGCTTAGAAGAAAATGATTTGCAACAAAAAAAATCAAAGTTTAGGTCAGCTGTTTTTAGCCATTATTAATCACCATTAATAATGATGACAGACACCACTGTGTAACAGGATAGAGCCTGCCTCAAAATTCAGGGAGATTTGACACCTACTGGCTGCTTGGCCCTAATCACAAGTCATTTAACCTCTTAATACAATAAGTAAACTCTGAATGACTGCAGAGTAGGTGCTGACCCATATTCATTGGTTCCTTGATTTATCAGTGAAATCATAAGCCCGGCTACAGAAAAAAATAAAAGCCAATGTAGTATTAGCTAAGTCCCAGACTAAAAGTCAACTCAACACTGTGCACTTATTAAGCTCCTACTATGAGCAGTAGGACAGTTGGCAGGGCTAAAGC